TTTGACATAAAATATTTATATTTTATTTAAAATCTTTGATATTTTGCTGTTAAAATTAACGATTACGATTATAAAAGCGGGTTAAAGCATAGTTTTTATAAAATTTGGGTGTTTTTGCAGAAAATAACTCGAATTGAGGTAGTTTTAGACACAGTCTGTGACTAGATTTTAAATGATTTTTGGGCATATTTATTAAGGATATTTTTATTTGTGGCGGTATTTAAAGTAAAACCTTAATGATATTTTGCATCCATTGGACCAAAAATATAATTTTTTTTTTGTTTTTTGACTTGTGGCGGTTTTTGATTGGGCCATCGATATGCAAAACTTATTTGCGAAAAGGACGTAATTATCTACCTACCCACATTTACTAAAAATATTTATTTTGTAGATACGACCTCTTAGTAGGACACACTTTTATGTTCATTTAAGTTTTGTAGTTATAAAATTTTTTTAATTATAGGTGGGACACCTCAGAGAACAAAGGAATTTGATATATTAACTAAAAACAATAATATTGAAAAATATTTTTCGGTGGATAGGTACCAGTGAAAACCCTATTAAAAAGCAAGATTATTAATTTCTTTAATGAAACTAACCTATAATTCAACCAAAATCAACATATTTATGTCAAAGTCAATATTTACATTTCTTGGAATAGTTCATATTATTATTATAACAAATTTAGTTGTTATTGGATTTAAGAACAAGATGTTATTGAATATAAATAAAGTACATTTATAAAAAAGTGTAAGACTATTTAATTTAAGATGTACATAATACTGCAAGCAATATGAAATGAAGAGTATATTATACTCTTTATTTAATTAGAGGTATTTAAGTTAGGAAAAGTTTTTTACTAATCTTGAAGCAAGACTAATTAGCTATTGTTGAACAAGTATTACTACAATCTCAAATCGAGACGAGTTTTACTTGCGGATATACAAACACACCAAAGCAATGAAATAAGACCATGCATCTTGAATATAGTACACCTTTTTTTCTATGTAACTTATAATGATAATTTAGGATATGTAAGCAAATACTGAATTCTTATAAAAAAAAATGCATAGTTGTCTTGTAAAATAGGTAGAAGCCAAAAAAAAATATAACTCTGATACAATACGAATTTTTAGAATATCCTGTATATATCACAATCCTATATCAAATCTATTTTTAAGCTGCTCTCAGAAGACGTCGAATATTGTGAACCATCACGTGAACTAATCATTAATAAAAGCATAATAAATTAATTTTATTTACGAAAACAAGAAATATACATTTTATTTTTAATTTATACAAACAGTTAAAGGTAATTTGCTAATATTTCGCTGTCTATAAGGACTACAAAATAGGTTTTAAATAAAAGTTTTGTGAAATAAACCAAGTCATTGTTACGTGAAATTAATTTTAAATTAATTTTAAATTTATTTTTAACAACGACCTCTCCATAACCCCTCGTAACACAACCTAAACGACCACCACTCGCTTCCTTCTCGAAATTTGAAGAGCACCGTTTGCGCACGGGCTATAGGGTTTCTTTGGGCAACCAGTCGTCATAAAACCGATTTGTTTGATTTCAACCGTTCTTTTTTGGTGTATCGAATTCAACGTGCTAGCTTGTGCCGATAAATGTATTAAATTAGTTGCTAGTAATTATCTGTCTTTTATGTGTTTATTGTGTGTTAACGTTGGGATAACTGTCAGGTAATGTTACTATCGCCTTATATTATTCACATTTTGCTGGATTTAGTTGGAAAACCGAAAAGATCGGCCATTTGCTTTTTTTGTTACCATCATGTGAATGCCGGTTTATTATTACTGTTTATTAGTGCTGCTTTATTTTATATAGATTATAGCTACCCTAACTAATAATGTTTTTAATCTTTCTTTGATACTTTGATATATACGCGAAAAGGCAATTTAATAACTAAATTACAAGTTAGTCTGGAAATACAATTTAAACAGAAATGTACGGCTCTTAACTTATTTTAGCCTTATAAATAGCTTGTATTTTGTTCAGATGATGTAAAACTTATTATTTTAACTTATTTTTGCCTTATAAATATTTTATATTCTGTTTAGATGATGTAACTTTAATATTTGTCGTGATATTTCATATTCTGTTCATACGATGTAACTTTAATATTTGTCCCGTTTATTCAAAAATCCGTTAGATTTCCACACTGGCATGTATATGTACTTTTACACACGGTACTAAGGTTCTTTTTATTTTCAAACCTGTAGTGGCTCCAAGAAGCTTCAAGAAGTCAAGAAGCTCCTAGTTGCTCTTAGAAGCTATGAAAAACAGGAAGTACCGAGTAACGTAGTTGCTCCAGAAAGCTCTAAGATCTAAGGTCTAAGAAACAAGAAGTACCGAGTTACGTAGTTTCTCCAAGTTCCGAACTCCAAGCCCCAAGTATCTAAGTACCTAAAGGCGGATTGTCCACGACACGACATACAAAAGGGAAGTACCGTACTTACTGTACTAGAATGCCACATGGTCGGGACAATTAATAATTATCTAATTATCTAACAGTAAATTTTATTCATTCAACTAAACTATCAGTCAATTTTAATTCATTTTCTATTCATTCTTTTTACTTTTTTTATTAAATGTATTACATTTTCTCACTTTCTTTTATTTGCCAGAACCCATACAGATAACTTTAAGTACCAGAGACTGACTCAATTAAAGAGGATATATCTAATCATGTAAGTTTTCCAAGTTACTCAAAAACTTGGTGGCACTTAACATTTTTTGTCGTTATCGTATTATAATATCTTTTATTTTATCGTAAAGTAGACTTTGGCACGCGAACCGGTCAACTATGATTTCATTTGTCCTGGTCAATTTATTAATCTACGCAGTATCAGCAATTTGAGCTAAATCACCTCTTAAGTACAATTTACATCGTAGAAATCTAAAAAGAAGGAAACATCATCTAGTTCAAATTAACAGCTGAATATCGATACCCAGAGAACGTCTGTTTTTGGATTTAATTTTAAGTTCAGTAGAATTTTGACATCCAGTGGACGTCCATCTTAGGTCATTATTTATTAAGCCAACCAGATAATACCCGTCTATATATACTTCTTTTTTTTTAATATAACTGGTCATTAAAAATTGACAAATTAAATCTATTGCATTTCATTCTATCAGCGGAAGTTTGAAATCTTATTCAATTATAACTGTATCTAGTAAAAAGTTTTCAAGTGGTTTATTGGTCGACCTCGTCTAGCGATTGAAAGCGTAAAACGATAATGTATGTGTCGTGAGTTCGATCCTGCTCAGGTCAAGCGATTTTTAATAAAAAATAAATAAATGGTGTATAGCGATTTGCGAAAATAATAATCAAATTATTAATAATATAAAATAGTGTGTGGTGAGTTGCGGTTCTGTAAAAAAGTGGGGATGTGGTCTCAATGGAAATATAATCCTGGACGTTTTTTGAATGTGCAGTATTCGACGTCCAAATATATTCCAGAATTGGACGTCCTCTGAATGGTCAAAAGTGAATGTCGGAAGTCCAGAAAATTCATTTTTGGACGTCTAGACATCCAAAATTGTATATCGAATGGACGTCCAATGGACATATTTGTATTGTCTGGGTAATAGCCAGGCCAGGTATTTTACTCTAAATACATAAACCTTAAATGACATCTGGTTCAACTTGGCGAGAAAACACTTGTTTCTACAGAAATGAGTGATAAACTTGAAAGTTCTTTTATTATAATATAAATCTAGAAATTTTAAAAATATGTAAGTACTTTTTAAACCTAAAAGCTTTGAAAATATATGCACATTGCAAATATTTAGTTAAACCTCTCAAACTTAATGTCTTTTTAATTGTTACCTAAATTTTTTTTGACACCCTTAATTTTATTTACCTTATTTTTAGTTAAGGGAAAGGTAATTTAATTTAAATAATGGGCTTTTATTACATTTTTAACAATAAATAAACCAAATATTGAACAAATTTTATTAATAAATTATAAAATAATAAACGTCTTTTACTTTTATAATAAATAATTAATTATTACATAATGAATTATATTTTGGTGCCAAAATTTCAGCATTGCTATTAACCCTAACTACTTCAATGTAATTAAATCACATTGCAACATTTGCGCATGGACTATAACAATAATTTTAGATAATTTGCCAAACTATTTCGCTCAGTGTAGAAAATAAGCATGTTTTCTCAACGTGCTAAGTTGTGTATCAGTCAAAGTCATACTGTGAAAAAGTTACATCCGATATCAAAGGCACCGACAGCTACTGTCGCTTCTCCTTGATCGGTATTTTCGGGTGCTAACTTTAATAGTTCAAATACGGTATAAAAAATATATCCTTGGATTATTTTGGAGTGCATGCGTTATATTCCTAATGTACTTACACTGATTATTATTTACCACTACAATTCATCAATCAATGAAAATACTCTTTCTTTCCCATTCAAAACAAACAGTATCTGAAAACACTAAATTTCGCAGTATTCTCACTCGATAACCGCGAAATGGCAATGTGAAGTTTGTCAAAAGGTGACGAAAAATGATAAAAAATCTTTTTGGTTGTTTGAATATTAATTTAATATCTATATTAATTTTATAAAATTAAGATTAAATAATAATTAAATTTCTGTTAATATTAAGTAATCTCTGCAAATATCACGCGCGGTGACAATTGTATCCTTACAAATAATGCAAATTTCACTCAACAAAATTCTTTTTGGTTTCGTGAAATTTAGATGCATAATTTCCAAAAAAACAAAAAAATATTCTCCAAAAAATTCTCATCTCTTCTGGTATTACCTTGATAATAAGATATATAAAAATTTTAATTATTTTTTTTGACCTAAAAGAAGTCAAACTATTATCAAGTTACCTTACTTTTTGTATACACTGTATACATTTTTTATGAAAGACAAATCCAGTAAATGGAATAATTTTTATATAATTTCCTTAGTAAAACTTTAGTGAAAACCAAAACAATAAGCCAATTATTCAAATAATTTTTTATTAAATACATATTATACATATTTATATCAGATTTGTTTTCAATCATCGTCTTGCACCACAACTAGCTCTTTAGGTGGTTCGATTAGTGCTTCGAATTCCTCCCGTTGAATATCCAAAAAGTGACTTAATTCCAAAATTTTATATCGGTTTCTGTCGACTTCGCCCGTAAACAGGTTGTTGGTAAAGCTTTCTAACCAACCTAAAATGTCACTAATTTTGTAAAACGTAAATCTATTTTCTGAACAGAATGAAAGGAAATACATATTTGAAAAAGGGCAATAAATATTATTAAAATAAAATGAGTAATTTATTCTACACTGTAATTTTCCAAATACGTTCAAGAAAACAGCACCAAAAAGTTGATTAAAAAAAAACTTAATTTTAAATGTAAATTGTTTGAATAAACAATTATGTTTAAACTTAAATTAATATGAGTTTTATTCAAATAGGCTTATAACTGTAATATTAATAAATATTTAATAGTCAAAACTATCTATAAAGGTAATATTTTTTTTCGGATTTGATCAAACAGATTTGCTTAACCAGAAATGGTACAACTAAAAATATGTAAATCCCATTTGGGATATCTCCCGTTTGGACTGTATTTATAGAATTAAACCCCCAAATAGGTTTATTATGTTGATTTTTTGTAATGATAGCCAAATTCCAATGTGACAATCATTTTATTAATTTTTGACAATATATATATATTTTTTTTTTTTCAACAAACTATTACTACGATACAAAACAAATTGAATACAGGGTGTGAATACTGTACATTCCCGCCACCTTGAAAGAAATCTTTCAAATAAATTAAATTATAACAAATTAAGCATCTAATGGAAGAGGACACAGTTTTGAAACACTTCGTGTAAATTCACCATTGCTTGCTTTTATTTTCGCTACCCGGCATTTATTGTCAGGTCCAACGAAAATTTCGATTACTCTTGCAATTTTCCATTGTAGAGGAGGAACGTTGTCTTCTTTCATAAGAACCATTTGTCCTACAGTTAGATTGGGGAACGGGAATTTCCACTTCTGTCGCTGTTGCAACTCTACCAAATATTCCTTTGACCATCTGTGCCAAAAGTGTTGCAAAATCAGTTGCATGTGCTGGAACTTGGAGAGTCGATTCTCTGGAATGTCTCGAACATCTGGATCAGGTATTGAAGTTAAACATTGACCAATAAGGAAGTGAGAAGGAGTTAAAACATCCATATCATTAGGGTTTGAAGAAAGAGGAGTAAGAGGTCTAGAATTAAGAACAGCCTCTATTTGAGTTAGTACTGTATATAATTGTTCAAAAGTTAAATATGCATTACCAACCACACGTTTTAAGTGGTGTTTAGAGGATTTCACCCCCGCTTCCCATAACCCCCCAAAATTTGGTGAATTTGGAGGAATAAAGTTCCACTTTATGCCTTCATTATGAAAAGTTTCTGCCAAAGAATTGCATTGATTTTTTAAAAATAAACCTAACTGTTCTAACTCATTCTTCGCACCAACAAAATTTGATCCATTATCTGAATATACCTGTTGAGGTTTGCCTCGTCTTGAGACAAATCTTCTAAATGTTGAAATAAATGATTCTGTGGTCAAACTTGTAACTAACTCTAAATGAATAGCTCTAGTGCTAAAGCAAATAAATAAACAAACGTAACATTTAACTAATTTAGAACCTCTACCTGGCTTATCTTTTATATAAAATGGACCGGCATAATCTACACCTGTATTATAAAATGGGGGCATTTGTCTAACCCTCATTTCTGGCAAAATTCCCATTATTTGATTTCCAGGCTTTGGTGCAACTCGAAAACAACGAATGCAAGAAAATACCACCTTTCTCGCTAAATTTCTCCCGCCAATAATCCAATAATGTTCACGAATAGAACTTAAAAGAAGTTGCGGACCAGCATGTAACAATCTAATATGTTCATATTTGAATAAAAGTTTTGTAAACCAATGTTTTGCTGAAAGTAGGTAGGGATGTTTTTTAGCATAATCCAAATCAGACAATTGTAACCGTCCCCCCACCCTCAGGAAACCTGAGTTGTCTATAAAGGGTGTTAATGAACTAATAGCTCGAAATTTTGGTTGCTGTTCGGCTTTAAGTGCATTATATACATCTGAAAAATATTCGTTCTGTGATAATTTAATTAACATTTTTAAAGAGGCATCTAATTCTAAATTTGATAAAGGACCTACCAACTTTGTGTTTTTGATTTTTAAATTGTGAATGTATCTCAGACAATATGCTAACACACGTTTAAGTTTACCAAATGTTGAGAAACTCTCAAATGGGAAGCAAAAACCTCTAACTACCAAATGTGTTTGAAATTGGTTTTTCATTTCAGGTAACTCAACCTTTTCAATCATTGGAAAACTAGATTGAGGCCACGACTGCTCATTTAAGAACAACCAAGTTGGCCCTTTCCACCAAATTTCGCAATTTAATAATTGTTGAGGAGTCAAACCTCGAGATAAAACATCAGCAGGATTATCTCCTGATTTTACATGAAACCATCTATCTGATGAACTTAATCTTTGTATTTGAGCTACTCTGTTTGCAACAAACGTTTGCAAAAGAGAAGGGATAGTTTTTATCCAACAAAGAACCACTGTTGAATCTGACCAATATGTAATATTTGAAAAGTTTACATTTAAAGAAGTTCTAACCTTCTCAACTAGTTGAACCAAAACAAAGGCAGCACATAGTTCTAACCTAGGAATTGTTAATGTTTTTAAAGGTGAAACTTTACCCTTTGAACACAGTAATGCCGTATAAATTTGCCCATTTAAATCTTGACTTCTCAAAAAGACACAAGCTCCATACGCTTCTAAAGATGCATCTGCAAATCCATGAAGTTCGACAAAAACAGGTGTCTTACATACAACCTGCCTAGGAACTTTTAAACTGTCTAAAATAGAGAAAAGAGATCTCAGCTTTTTCCATTTCTGAGATATATCATCTGGAAGATTGTCATCCCATTTCAGCTTCAAAGCCCAAAGTTTTTGTAAGAGAATTTTAGTTACTATAATAGATGGAGCAACCAATCCAAGAGGATCGTAAATTCTAGAAACTTCCGATAACATTAATCTTTTCGTTAAAACTGTATTTGAAGAAAAATTAATTGAATATTTAAGAACATCAATTTTAAAATCCCATAGCAAACCAAGTGTTTTATTTTGATCCTTTTCATTAAGTGAAATGAAATTAGAATTCAAATCAGTAGAGGATAACGTTTTTAATACTTCAGCACTGTTTGAAACCCACTTCCTCAAATGAAATTGACCACCATGTAAAATATTTGACACCTCCTGACACAATTTTATTGCAGATTCCTTATTGTTTGCTCCAGTTACCATATCATCCACATAAAAATCATGTAATATTACATTTGATGCTGCAGGAAACAATTCAATGTTTTCTAGTCCAAGTTGTTTTAAACACCGAATTGCTAAAAATGGTGCCGATTTTGTTCCATAAGTAACTGTATTTAATGTATATTCCATAACCTTATCTGAAGAATCCATTCTCCAAAGAATTTTTTGTAAAGACCTATCTTCTGGTTCTATGAAAACCATTCGATACATCTTTTCGACGTCAGCAGCAACCACAACATTATGTTGCCGAAATCGAACAAAAATAGAAAACAAGTCATCCTGAATTTTCGGACCAGTGTACTGAATACTATTCAATGAAATACCATTATCAGCTGGAGCTGACCCATTAAAAACAACTCGTAATTTTGTAGTTAGTCTATTTTCATTTACTACAGCATGATGAGGAAGAAAATATGAAGGTACACCAATTAAATTATCGTCAGATGCAGACATATGACCCAACTGCTCATATTCAATCATAAAATCTGTATACATCTTTTTTAAAACAGGATTTTTCAAAAACCTTTTTTCCATGGACATTAACCTATTTAATGCATATTTTCTAGAATCCCCAAGGACTAATGGATTTTCCTTAAAAGGAATTCTTACTAAAAACCTACCATCTTCTAATCTTTTTGTAGTATTTATGAAAATCTTTTCACATTCCAAGTCATCTTTACTCATTTCCACCGATTCTAATCGGGGAGGTTCCTCAATGTCCCAAAATTTTTCCAATTGTTCTTGAACATCCAAGTTTAAAGTTAAATTACACCTTTGAGAAACAAATGTAGGCCTATATAGAAGTGATCCTGATGCAATCCACCCAAACTTAGTTTTCTGCAAAACAGGCTGGCCATGTCCTAGATGAATTTGTCCAATACAAAGTAACCTATAAAATATTTCAGCTCCTAAAAGAAGATCAATTGGCCCCTTTTTCTCAAAATTAGGATCTGCCAACTTCAAATTACTAGGGATTTTTAAATGAGAAATATTAATATTTTGACTAGGTAAAGATTCACTTATTTTATCTATCACCAAACAAGACACATCTAACTTAAAGTCAGAGTGAAAAGACTTCACCTGTACTGAACATCTTTCTTTAATAGTCGAGATTGCTTGATTTATACCAATCATGGAAAAGTCCACTCTTTCCATTGACAAATTAAGCTGATGGCATAACTTTTTTGTTATTAAATTAAGCTGAGAGCCATTGTCCAAAAGAGCCCTACATTCTACTACTTTACCTTCTTGGCCTATCAACTTGACCATTACAGTAGACAACAAAACATCTCCATTTCTTTCACAAAGCAAAGAAAGCCCAGAAGATATTTCTTTTTGTTCTTCCTTGCTCCCAGTACCAGAACTACTAGTACTGGTGTTTCCATCGATGTTTTGGTCCTGAACTAATTGATTATAGTTTGGCTGTGAGTGATGTAACAATGTATTATGTTTTGATCCGCACTGTCTACAACCAGAAAGTTCACACTTTTTGCCAATATGATTACCTTTTTTGAGACAGTTCAAACATAAACCCAATTCTTTAGCTTTTTTATACCTTTTGTGAGTATCTAAAGTTAAAAATTTCTTGCAGTGATAAATCAAATGTTCACCATTGCAAACTAAACAATTGTTATTTGAAACCAAAAATGAATGCTTATTTTTATGCTTGAAATTGTCCTTGCTTTCCATTTTTACGTCTACTTTGTTACCTTTATTTTGTTCTAAGTGTTCAAGATGTTCAACTCTTTCTATTAAGAAAGATTTGAATTCATTTAGTGTAGGTAAATTTCCCTTAGGTCTAAAATCATCCCATTTTGATTGTGAAACTTCATCAAGTTTAGAGTTGATCAAATAAATTATCAATACATTCCAATTTTCTATTGAAACACCTAGTCTACTAATAAAAGCTAACTTATTTGTAAAACCAGTTAAAAGATTACGCAATTCATTACCTGAGGGCTTCTTAACATTAGGAAACTCAAATAATGATTTCAGTTGGTTGTTTATTAAGCAATAAGGTTTATTAAATTGTTCATATAGAGAATCCCATGCAAATGAATAATTTATTGCAGCAAATTGAATTCCTCGAATTGATTCTTTTGCAACTCCATCTAAAGCCTCTCTTAAGCAATGAAACCTTTGAATATCGGTAAAACCTGCATTGTTATGTACCAAAGATTCAAAAACGTCTCTGAATTCCATCCAATTTTCAAGAGACCCATCAAATCTAGGTAACGGAATGCTAGAAAACTCAGGTTTTAACCCAAAACTCACATTATTTGCTGGAATAGCAGATTGACTTATATTTGAATTATGAGAACCGTTTTCATCCAAACCTACAACAGCAAACAAATCACTATTATGATCAATTAAAATTACTTTTGCTAACGCTAATTGTTTATTTAGTTTTGAATCAAAATCATTTCGAGTAATGAACTCTGCTTCTAGGTGTTCATCTAAAACTAACAACTCTATTTGTTCTTGAATTTCATTAAATTCTAACTGTAAGTCACTTAATGTTTCGTATTTTCTTTCTAACTCTGACAAAGCCAAACGATTTAGAAATTGTTCACCAATATTTTTATTTTTTAATAAATCCTCTAAATACCTCTCAAAACATGTGAGTCTTGTTTTTACACTACCGCGTTTCCTATTTAAATTTTTTAGTTCTGCCATTTGAACTACCAACTTAATACACAATACTTACTCCAAGATAATTTAAAAGTATAAAGACTTAAAAAAAGGATATGTTTGAAGAAAGGTCAACGCTTAAAGGAAACCAAACTTCTCTCCAATTCTGTTTTACTCCACCAGCCTCCAAATCCACTAGCCTCCAAATCAACTAGCATCCAAATCCACTAGCCTCCAAATCCGGCTCGATGAACCACTATGTTTGGGATATCTCCCGTTTGGACTGTATTTATAGAATTAAACCCCCAAATAGGTTTATTATGTTGATTTTTTGTAATGATAGCCAAATTCCAATGTGACAATCATTTTATTAATTTTTGACAATATATATATATTTTTTTTTTTTTCAACAAACTATTACTACGATACAAAACAAATTGAATACAGGGTGTGAATACTGTACACATCCCATCAAGATAAAATAAAGTAGAGATCACATAAACAGTATTTTGTGATATGACAGATGGACGTACCTCAAGTGACGGACAAATGTAATGAAAATGGCGACTTAGGTGGTACTTTGAGTTTTTTGAAGTCAATAATTTTATATTTGAAGAGTGACGGAATGAAAATGGTTTTATATCATAAAAATAAAGCTATTTAACAAAATGACATTTGCTTTTTCCAAAACTGACTAGCTTTACCATCTCGAGTTTGACATATGACGTAAAAGTATAATGCAAAGGTGCGGGCACTTTAAACATCGTCATAGAATCTTCTCTTTATTTTAACTCAATGGTAAATACGCATCTGATTTTCCCCTGTATTGGTTTACACAAAATACACTTTACCGGTCCCAATTTATTACAATAAAAATAGTTATAAATTACTTATTCTCTGATTAAAACGCTACGAGATGTAAAACCTAACAAACTATAAGTAACAATTTATAATATTGGTACAAAAATAAAATGCGGCAGAAAATGCAATTGGACAGGGGCGGACGAATCAATTTATATGTTTCAACCAACCTTTAGCTCTGAATATTAAAACATCTTCTCTAGTGTCGATAACAGTTAAATGTGTATCGTGAGTGGCGCCCAAACAATTTAGTAAATTATCCTTATCTGACATTACTTCATCGAGAACATCTGGAATAACTAAATCTTCTACCAAACCAATACTAAAATATACAGACAAAATTTAAGGTTAGGATCATTATAATTGGTAAATATGATGCTCAATGATGTACTGTTAAGTATTAATTATCAGTACTACTTCTACATTATACCCAAACCATGTTAATACATTTTGTATAAATGCAGCACAAATATGTTTTAAGTAGGTAATGCAATAAAGTAAATTGTTTAGAAATCTAGGACACAAGATACAATGTGTTCAAAAATGACAAGCATTTTTTTACAGATACTTAAGTTCCTCCATTTATAATCCACATAAATCACTCCGTATAAATATTATACAGTGTGTTTCAAAAAGATTGGTCATAAATTATACCACATATTCTTGGGTCAAAAATATGTCGATTAAACCGTACTTACCTATACAGGGTGGCCACTTTTTCATTGAAATGTATTGCTATCTCGTAAACCGTTGGTAACACAAAGTTGGTTAAATGGGGAAAAAGTTGCATATTTCGAAGTCCAATCTGAGGGCGTTTTGAAAACTAAAATATCAGGTCCGGTTTCCGAGATATTCGATAAAAAACAAATAAGTACCATTTCTTTATTCCGCTACAGAACGTTTATTTGCAAAAATAGACAAAAACTCATTTGGAGTTTTTTGTTTTATATCAAATTGTGCGTACAATAGCGTATTAATTTTTTTTATCCGCCGTTTCGTAAATGCAGGACCACCATCAACTTCTTTATTTGAATATGGACCAATATTTTCCTGGCTCATAATTTTAATGCATGTTCAATGTTGAATACAATGATGTAATAACATATTGTGATTAGTCAACATTTCGGAAGATTTGAACATCATCAGGTAAGTTTACAAGTACGGACCTGTGTTTTGTTAGTTAAAAATATTTGAATTAGTAAATGATGTATTATCAGTGTAAGAAATCAGGTACATTTACTTGTACAGACCTGTATTATAAATTATTTGAAATACACAACTACATTTTAAATGCTTAAAATAATTTAATAAAAAAAAATATGTATTTAACTACTTAATCACGTCAGAAACAAATAAATGAAAACAATGATTAACGATAAGAGAAAAACTACAGTAGTTGCTCAAAATGTCCTCCTTCTTCTTGAATACATAAGTCAATACGGTCTGTCATTTGAGCTATGCTGGCAGAAACCATTTGTGGAGTGATATTATTAAACGCATTAATTATCCTATCTCGTAATTGATTTAAGTCATTTGGAATACCATCATAATATACTTTATTTTTGATATATCCCTAAACAAAATAATCCGTATGATTTAAGCAGGGTGACCTAGGGGGCCATCGAATAGGTCCATGTGTACCAAACCACCTCCTGGGAAATGTTTCGTTTAAATAATTTCTGATTAATGCAGCATTATGTGGCCCACAGCCATCTTGCATAAAATAAATATTTCTTCGATCACCTAAAGGAAGATTATCTAACATATCTTCTAGCAATTGTAAATAGTTGTGTTGGTTGAGGTTTCCGTCAATAAAAATAGGACCAATTATTTTATTATTGAGTATTCCACACCATAAGTTTATTGAAAATCTAATTTGGGGTCTTACTTCTTGAATCAAATGTGGGTTGTCGGTGGCATAAAAATGTTTATTTTTTCTATTAAATATTCCACTATTAGTAAATGTCGATTCATCTGTCCATAAAATTCGTCCATGAAAGGATACATCATTATTTAATTTTCGTTTATACCAACGGCAAAATTCTATTCTACGATTATAATCTCCAGGATGTAGCTTTTGTACAGTTTGGAATTTGTAATCATGGTACTTATGTTTTTTAAGAATGTTTTTCACAGTACTTGCAGAAACTCCACATTCTCGGCTTATTGCTCTAGACGACGTTTCAGGGTTGATATAAACTTGAGACAAAACATTTATTTCATTTATTGTATTACGTTTTAAATATTTACCACGTTTTTTTTCAATATTTCCTTCGTGAGCCATATTTAACGCTATCCTATAATAAATTAATAAAGATGGTTGCCTCCTTCCTGGATACAACTGAAGGTATCTTTCTGCAGCTTCTCCACTATTTCTGTTACATTTTATGTACACATCGTACATATCTTTTTTCTCACTTCTACTGTAACGAACCATATTTTCAATACCCTAATTAAAAATATACCAATGTTTTTATCCGATACCAGACTGTCAAATATACAATAATAAAATGTGACATGCCAGGTTAACTTGATTTAAATTTATCTGTATAATAATCAAGACATGTTGCTAGATATACAATTATTATTGTAAGTAGGTATCTATCTGCAGTTTGTTAACTTTTTCTTTTTTATACTATGAGGAACCATATCAGTTTAAAAAATCCAACAAAATATGACAAATCAGGCTAACTTTATGTATTTAAAAATCGGGATGTACTTTATTTATAGATTAATATTGGGATTGGTCAAGTGCAAAAACCATAAAAATGGAAAATATTTTTTAGCAAATGTGTAAACGAACATGTTGTCTTGATGTAAAGTTAAAAGTTTGACTTTGGTATTTATTATTTATAATCTCTTACAACGATAATACATCATTTACTAATTCAAATATTTTTAACTAACAAAACACAGGTCCGTACTTGTAAACTTACCTGATGATGTTCAAATCTTCCGAAATGTTGACTAATCACAATATGTTATTAAATCATTGTATTCAACATTGAACATGCATTAAAATTATGAGCCAGGAAAATATTGGTCCATATTCAAATAAAGAAGTTGATGGTAGTCCTGCATTTACGAAACGTCGGATAAAAAAACTAAATACGCTATCATACGCACAATTTGATATAAAACAAAAAACTCCAAATGAGTTTTTGTCTATTTTTGCAAATAAACGTTCTGTAGCGGAATAAAGAAATGGTACTTATTTGTTTTTTATCGAATATCTCGGAAACCGGACCTGATATTTTAGTTTTCAAAACGCCCTCAGATTGGACTTCGAAATATGCAACTTTTTCCCCATTTAACCAACTTTGTGTTACAAACGGTTTACGAAATAGCAATACATTTCAATGAAAAAGTGGCCACCCTGTATACCAAAGTGCACCAAAAAATAGTTACAGGGTAATGAATTTTTTTTAATATTGCTCTTAAACCGTTTGGCATTTTTTTATGAAAGGCAATATTTTTTTCTTCATTTTTAAAGGTTTTTGGAGGGGATCACCGCTCTTTTCTGCACTCAACTTTTTGTAGTATAAAATTTTATTACAAATAAAACGCCACTGGAATGCAACATTCATTTCGAAACTTTTTTATTTCTTAGTATTTGTTTGTAAAAAGTTTAGTTTAGACGATACAGTCCATTGAAATGACAACTTAAAAATATTCAAAGGAAATTCTACCTGAAAAATAACAAAATTAAATTTATATTTAAATTACAAACTAATGTTATCAAAATAAAAAATGTAGTTTAACAGGTGTTCAAAATTACATTCTCCTCCTGTATACACTTACTAAATAGTTTTAACAATGAACATCGAATTTATATATTTTTGCATATGTATAATTTACATTGAATATTTTTAAAATATCATTTTAAGTGGCTGTATCGTCTAAACCAAACATTTTACAAACAAATACTAGAGAGACAGAAAAGTTTCCAAATAGATGTTGCATTTCAGTAGCGTTCGATTTTTAATAAAATTTTATATTACAAAAAAGTTGAGTAGAGAAAGGGGCGGTGACATCCTCCAAAATCCTACAAAAATAAAAAAAATATATTGCCTCTACCTCGATTTTATTAGTCATGGCATTCCAACACGTCATATAAAATTTCATGAAAAAATGTCAAACGGTTTAAGAGCAATGTTAAAAAAATTCATTTTAATTTTTATCTTAACTATTAGTAGATAGACTAAGTTCATTCTGGCTCACATAGGGAATTCAACGTGTAAGAGTGAGAGGTAACCTACGAGATATGGCGTTCACGTAAACGAGGCCATTTTCATCATTTTGCGAAAAGACAAATAACCTACGAGATATAGCGTTCACGTAAACGAGGCCATTTTCATCATTTTGCGAAAAGACATCTAACCAAACCGCACCATTTTGCCAAAAACGGTCGTTAGACAGCTGCCCGTGGCCCCGGGGCCCGCCACGCGGAGTCGCGCCGATGAACATAACCCCACTTTTAACTGTCGATCCGTCAATTGCCCCGATGAGGATTTCCGCCGTGACATACAAGAGAAAAATCATGCGCAATGACAGGACAAAAGGACCTTAGCGTATATCTCAGCTATCGTTGGTCCGATTTAAATGGGAAAAAGGGGGTTATGTAGAAAGCGTGATATAGATTAAAGTTGAAAAGAAAAAATCATGCGCAGTGGCAGGACAAAAGGACCTTAGCGTGTATCTTCACTGCTATTGGTCCGATTTAAATGGGGAAAAGGGGGTTATGTAGAGAGAGAGGGATATAGATTAACATACAGGAGAAAAATCATGCGCAGTGGCAGGACAAAAGGACCTTAGCGTATATCTCAGCTATCGTTGGTTCGATTTAAACGAGAAAAACGGCATTATGAAGATAACTCAGTATTGATTAACGTTGAATAGAAAAAATCATGCGTAGTGACAGGACAAAAGGACCTTAGCGACTATCTTTGCTACTATTGGTCCGATTCAAACGGGAAAAACGGTATTACGTAGAGATCTTGGTACAGATTAACGTCGAATAGAAAAATCATGCGCAGAACGAAAAGCCACAAGGGCCTTAGCGTGTATCTTCACTGCTATTGGTCCGATTTAAACGAGAAAAATGGCATTATGAAGAGAACGATTAACGTAGAAGAAAAAAATCTTGTGCAATGTCAAAAGGGCCTGAGCACGTATCTTCACTGCTATTGGTCCAATTCAAACGGGAAAAACGGCATTACGTAGAGATCGTAGTATAGATTAACGTCGAATAGAAAAATCTTGTGCAAAGCCACAAGGGCCTTAGCACGTATCTTCACTCCTATTGGTCCGATTCAAACGGGA